AAACAACCAATCAGAACCAGGAGGTGGGTACAGAAGAGGATTAGAGCCGCTGAGAAAAAAATTCTGCCCTTTTCCTCATAATTCTGACTTTGATCTTTGAATTCTGACTTTGATCTTTGATCTTGGAATTCTGACTTTGATCTTTGAATTCTGACTTTGATCTTGGAATTCTGACTTTGATCTTTAATCTTGGAATTCTGACTTTGATCTTTAATCTTGGAATTCTGAATTTGATCTTTGATCTTGGAATTCTGACTTTGATTTTCTGTGTTGCCCTGCGACAGACTGGCGACCTGTCCAGGTGACCCCGCCTCTCGCCTGGAACGTTCGCTGGAGAGGCACCAGCAGCCCTCCCGACCCCACTGAGGGACAAGGGTGCACAGAAAATGGATGGATGGATCTTCTGAGGTCAAAGTCAAAATTCTAACTTTAATATTAGAATTCAAATTCAAAAATTGTATTTTTTTCAGTGGCCTTAATCCTCTTAGCGCTGTCAGTCAAATAGTCTATGTGCTGCTAAATGTGCTACTGGCAGAGAAACAACTCATCATTACAGAAAAACTGTTTTTCCACCATTATTGGTGGCCATGCTAACTAGTCTTAGCATTCATGATGGGCTCTACTGTTGGCAAGAAGCTTTAGCGTAGCAGAGAGGGTGATTGACAGCGCTAAGCCCCTCCTCCTGGCTCTGATTGGTTGTTTCTGACTGAACAGTGTGTTTCTGTAGTTTCTTGGAGAAGACACAGATTATCTGTCATGACGGAGTGACAGTTTAAACAAATATTTAAAAACATTTTTTTAAATCTGAGTTTCATACTGTAGCTTTAATGCTTTTAGGAAAGTCTAACTGTTAATTTATTTTCTCTTGTTTCTAAAGGTTCAAAGAAGTCAAGGTAAAACCGCTTGAACTTTCAGCTTTTGTTGTAAATGTGAAACTTTGCCCAATTGTTTCTCAGTATTGTTGGAAAATTATGGTAAAAGATGATGCATCTTTTAGAAAATTATTCAACATTTTTCACACCCTACTGTAACGTCAGAGCGCGCACACACACACACACACACACACACACACACACATACATTCTCATGTGTTTCCTTCCAGGTAAATTAATCTGGTGTTAAACTTTGTAACATAGAAACTCTGAATCTGCTAATCATTGATTTCATGTTGACTTGATCATCCAACAGAATAATGTGCCGTTCAATTTACTGACTCTACTAAAAGTTAAAGATGAGACTTTTAAAAATCTTTATTAATCACATAGCATGTTTCATGTTGAAATGTGAGATGAATGTATTTGTAACATTTAGGCCATGATGTCTAAAACGGTTCAACGCTGCTGACCGACGACAGTTCCAATAACCATTTCATTTATCGATCCAGGCGTCTTTTTTTGTGTCTTCTACCCTAAATATACATATTTTACCGCGTTTTTTTTGTTCTTAAAGAAAATGTGTTAAATACAAATTATAAAATGCAATAAGATTGTTCAAATATTAAATCAACTCAAAGCTTCACCTGTTAAAAGAAGGACCTTCTGATGATGATTTTAGGATTTTTTTGTTTTGTAAAATATATTTTTTCATGATGTCATTGTTGCCACATCTGGGTCTTGTGGCAGGAAAATTTGTACAGTTTCATTGGGTTACTTATTGCGTAGTGTAAGATGGATTTGTTTTCTATTATTTTAAATGTAAAGGTAGGGATTTTAACTGAGATTTATTAGTATTTCGCACTTAAATTTCCAGGTGTTTTGTTTTTTTTACATCATGTCAGAAATTAGAACTGTCTTCTTGCAGGTAAAGGTAGAGCTCAAGCTTGAAACCAATCTGTATTGTTTTCAGATTAAATGCTACAGATTGTTTTTCAATAAATGGATTAACTATTGTGTATGACGTGATGTTTCATTGTGTAATATGCTTTTTAAAAACTGTAAAGTTTAAATTTGCAGCAGCATGGCATTAAATAGAAACCAAAAGGCCTTTAGGTTATAAAACAATTGTTTTGTGCTGAAGAATTGTGGAAACGAAGCTATTCATGGGTTTTCTGATGAAGATTTTTGTGTTTTTTAAATAATAAAGACAAAGAGTTGCATAAAATACTGAAAAAAATCAAAATTAATCATATATTTTGCAAAGTCAGAAGCATTATCTGCTTCACTTTACATACAATCAGGCTTCGTTTGGGAAATCCTTGAATTTATTTTAGGTGCTTTCAAGGTTTGGAAAGTCCTTGATATTTTATGATAAAGTCCAATCTACCGTTTGATTACAAGTTTAAACTTGGAAAGCGTTTTTTACAGTTGAAACCAGATATTTAAAAACAATGAAAGGACATTTTAATCCTCACCGTCTGAAGTTAAGAGACAAACTTCCCCTTTTTTAGGTCAGTGAAAATAATCTAAAGTATTTCTATTTGCTAAGCGCCAGAAAACATAGTGAGGAAATATTTTTTTTAAATTTCTGCTGTAGGATATTAAAAGATATTAATAGTAATAAATAATTTATAACAGTGAATTGAAACTGTATCCTTTGGTTTGTGTCGTTTTTATCTCCAAAGCTGAAATATTCCTTTAATTTAATTTATTAAAGTGTAAAAACCCAGTTTAATCCACCACAGATTGATAAATAGTTTCTATTACATCCAGTTAAACCCACAAAACAAGCAGATTAACCAAAGATCAAAACCAACATTTTTTATTTGGAATATCAGCAGAGAACTCTCTGGACAGTCACACCGTCAGCTTTGGTGAAGCAAAAAGAAAAACCACGTGAATCACAAATGATTTATTGGTGGGACGAAACGTCCATCTGCTCCAGACTGAAGTGTGAACGAGAAGCTGATGTGCGTTTACATTTCAGTTCCTGTTTAAACCAGATCAGTGAATCCAGCACTGATTGGAGAAGATGATGCGACACTGAAATGGGAATGATGCTGCACCAAACTCCAGCTGGAAAACCAGCAGGACTCGGTGATTCGTGAGAACATAAAGCAAAAGCATCTCAATAGATCAGAATGTGTTGGAAATGTGAAATACAAACCAGGTATTTAAAGCTTATTGTGTTTATTTAGATGAGAATGCAGTGGAGTCCAGTGTTTTCACCATGAGGGAGAAAGTTGTCAAGTTTTTTTAAAATACAATTTTTTCTAAATAAACTTTTGATGTCCTTTTTATTATTATTTTAGCTGCTCAATAATAAGCTAAGCTATTTAAATTTTATTAAAATGAGGAAAATGGACAGATTTTTGTGGGAAACGGAAAATCATCGTAAAAGGTTCCACAGCTTCTAAATTGTTTGGATTGATTGTTTTCTTATATCAGAAGTAAAATTTGTTTTTGGGAAAATGTTGGTGAATGTTTTCGGTTCTAATTACTCCAAAATTAAGATTAAATAAAAAAAACAATTATTACATGCAAATCTATTTTGTGTGCCTGATATTTTTTAAGATATTGTTATGTAGCTGTAAAAATGTTGAACAAGTGTCCATCTGCATCAGCCATTTAAGCAGATTTGCTCCATTTGGGCCGTAAAAAGTCTTTCAGAGGGCTGCAAATGGCCCCCGGGCCGCACTTTGGACACCCCTGTAATAATGGCTTACATCTAATGAAAAACCCCAAATAAGAATGTAATTTAAAATAATTAAAAACCAGAAATGTAAGCCTATTTACATATATTCTCATGTACTGTATAGTTTCTCTATGTGGTTCTGATCAGTTCCGTTTGATCCAATCAAGTATCACAGTGTTACTATGGTCATTAATGAAGGTATCAGTAATTTTGGCAGTGTGGGTAAATACTACGTCCTACTGGAAGATGAAATCAGCATCTCCAGTTATTCCTGTTGCTTTTTCAAGAACACCGCTTTTTCTTCCACTAAACTTTCCATTAATATGTTTGGGAAGTTTATCAATAATCTTGTTTTGCTTAAAGGTGACCTGTTGTGCTTCCTTGAACAGGTTAGGATCGGTCTGTGTTTTTTTGCACAAACTTATTCTTAAAATAATGAAATTTTAACCTGCTCAGTTTCGGCTATTTCAGGATGAGTGTTTTAGGAAGTCTTGTCACATTAAATCTAAATAATAAGTCTAAATAATTTGCTTCTGGCCACGCCCCCAGCTCAGCATTTACATGTGAAAATGGCTGCAAATAAATGCGCAATTGTACAACTGTACGTCTTTGAAAAGCAGAAGTGGAGCCTCCTACACAACCAACGAGAACCAACGAGAAGTGGTTTCTGGAAGATAAGTCAATAACAAAACCCTTGTCTTTTCCAGCAGCCATTGTACAGCGGTAAAACCAGCTGACCAGATGTGCTGGAGCTCAGATTGGGTTGCTAGGTAACCAAAGAACAATTACGTGGTTATTTAAAAATACCCACGTAATTGTTCTAATGTTAGCACATTAATTAATGTTGTTTTTAGAAGCAGTTGAGGCCCAAATAGAAGCATAAAAATGTGCAAAATGTGAATTTTGCATCAGTGACATAAGTCAGCATTAAACAATGTTTTTGTTTCAATTTTTAATTTATGTTATTGTTATTTTAGAGATAAAGTTTTTTGTTTTCACCAGATGTAAGCCATTATCATCGGTCTTGAAGGTGATGAATATATAAAATAAATGAACTTATGGAGATTTTTGAATTTATTGAGATGCATTTTGCATTTAAACATAATATGTGTCCAGCTTATTTTAAATTTGCACCAAACTGGTCTAGGAACAACATGGATGGATGGATGGATGGATGGATGGATGGATGGATGGATGGATGGATGGCTGGATGGATGGATGGATGGATGGATGGATGGATGGATGGATGGATGGATGGATGGATGGATGGATGGATGGATGGATGGATGGATGGATAAACTGATGGATGGATAAACTGATGGATGGATGGATGGATGGAATCAGAAGAGTATATTTCTGAAAGTTTTACTGCATTTCATAACATGACAGTGTTGAATTTTAAGTTCCTTTCAGCAGAAATTCAAACTTCCTGATACAAACAGAACACCAGTTTATTCCTCCTGAACGTATTTAATCACATCGGCTTCACAGCTTTTGGTAGAAATAGAATAAATAGAGTTAAATGTGTCTCCTCAGCAGCTACTGTAGTAGATTCAATAGTTTATTTCCTGAATAGCGTTGCTCTGTTCACCACACAGAAGAGAACAGAAATAAATATCATGATCTGCTTTAGGCCTAGCGGTGCTGCTAACTACAACATGCTGTTGTACAAACACAAGCATGTGACGCCTTCATTAAACATTTCCTTCTAGTTACAGTCAGAGACGTTTAGAAACTAATTCAGAAATGATTTGTTGGGTTCTCAACCTGACTCCTATCTGGACTCCGAAGCTTCCAGCTATAAAGTCTCTTTCAGTCAATTTCTTCTGCTCCAGTTGAGGCAGAAAGGCTTTTTTTTTTTTTAGTTTCCATTAATGACACGTGAAGAACGTATGAGCTGGAGGAGAGTTTCTGTACAGGAGAAGAGTCTTTAAATGGCGCAGTGTTTGGAGTCCGTATGCATTAAGGCAGATAGATGTGTAAACAAACCTGCCGGTGAGCAGGCTGCGTCTCTCTCTCTCTCTCTCAGATATGGACGCACAGAAACGGCCAGAGCGAGTCCTAGCGCTAGTCCTGCTAGCCGGCGCTGTGGTCGTCCTTCCCTCGCCTTTCTTTTCTTCAACGCATCATTCAGAGTTTGTGAAGAAAAGCCAGCAGAATCTGAGCGAGAGTCTCCCGACACCTGACGGGTCCTCAGGTGTTTCCATCGCTTGGAGCCGGCCTACGGGCTGTACGGCGGCGGTTTCTCGTCAGGGTGTTCATGAGGCGGGGAGTAGCGAGGAGGGATCATGGTGGGCCAGAGGTGGCTGGCTCCAGACTGGGAGTCATCTGAGAGGCCTGAGGAGTCCGGGAACAGGAAGGGGCCCTGCAACCACACAGAAAAACACCACTTACTCAGGTACATTTACTTAAGCAACTTTTTTTTTTTTTTAAAGTACTTGTAGGAGTTTTTTTTACTTTTACTTTTACTTGAGTAATTTTATTATGAAGTATCGCTACTCCTACTTGAATAAAATTTCTGGATAATTTACCCGCTGAATCAAAAACCAAAAAATTTTTTTAACCAAATTCAATATCTAGAAAATTCTTTAGAGTTTTTCTAGATATTGGTGGCAGTTGGCAGGAAAGATCTCCCGTAGCAGTCTGTGTTACAGCCTCTATTAAAGACACCCCAAAATAAAGGAAAAATATGTACACACACAAAACAAACAAACCTGCAGGAGTAAAACCAGTCGACCAAACTTGATGGAACTCAGCTTGGGTTGCTAGGTAACGGGCTGGAGCTCTGCTTGGGTTGCTAGGTAACGGGCTGGAGCTCTGCTTGGGTTACTAGGTAACGGCTTATGAGGTGAGGGGCAGTTCCTGCTGATTTGTGACGTTACATACTGAAGGTTTTTGAAACGGCTCAATTTCCAGACACCAAAAAACATAAATTTATTGAACAAAAAAATGTCTGGATGTTCATGGAAGCACAAAAACGTACAAATCTGCATAATATGTCCCCTTAAAAGAAAACAACACATTCACCAGTGGGCCACAAGGTTGAAATGTTTTCATTATAAATGAAAAAACTAAATAATGACCGCTGGAAATAATCTATAGCAAACCTTAGCTTTATTTTAGCATGAAATATATCATTCTTAACAGAGCTACTGATATAATTGATGTAATCTGAATCTATGCTGTTGACAGATGTGCGTCAGCCATGTTTTCAGTGTACCTGCAGGTCGTAGGCGGTGTAAGGTGGCAGGCAGGGGGCAGCGTTGTGATACAGGTTGAGGGCAGTGGTGGGAGGAGGAGGAGCAGGAGGGACGGGAGCAGCGATGGCCTCCGGTTCAGATGCAGTCTCTGAAGCAGGAGCAGGCATCTGGAACCAAAAACAACACAAACTGGTGTTTATTTACAGCGATGTCCTTCACTGTAGTAACTCTGCCAGAAACAAGAAAAGAACAAAAAAATCCAGCTTTTAAAATGCAGACAAATTACTATTATTACTGGCACTTCTAACAATTTCTGTGCAGGAAAATTACACTGAACATTTTTATTAATTCAAAACAAGACAAGAGATTTACCAACAAGACAAGAGATTATCTGTCTTACCACTTGAGTAAGACAGATATGTTGATATTAATCACAGGAACACAGCTACTTGCTGTTTAATTCGTTTAGAGTTTTATCATGCAGAGTGAGCAGGATACTAAGAAATATAAAAAATCTGCAGCAAAAAGTGGCATAAGCTTTTATAATTATTAGATGATAGTTATAAAGTTGTTGTTGAGACATGCCAGGAAAAATCATTTCCTGTACTACAATTACAAATTTGTTTAATTTGCTAAGTGCTTCCCAACGCAAATGGAAAATAAAGAAAAAGTCCATCTGATGATCACATATATGTGTGACAAAGAATAAAATAACTATCTGACCATTATTTGGTGGAAGGACAGAGTTTAAATATTTAGTATTTTATCATAAGTTAAAGTGTTGCCACAATATATGATGCTTTCTGTGACCATAGGCATGGAAAAGTATGGTGTAAAACTGAAACAGCGCCTCCTACTGTGAATATGGTGCAACACCGGCGATTACAATGTTTCTGTAACTGATTGCCTGCTAGGAGAAGTGAGGAGAATGATGAATTATTTTAGCTATAAGTTATTAATATTTATTTTTTATGGATCAGGAAAAACAGCTTTTATGGTAAAGAAACCCAAAAACCAAACTGCATCATAATTTACAGTCCAACATGTGGACCAAACTTCAGAAAGGTGAAAAATACTCACATTCTCTACTGAAGTAGAAGTACAGATACGTGTCTGAAAAACACTCTAGTAAAAGTAAACTGAACTGTTTTACTGACGTAAAGGTAAAAAAGTACAGGTTTTGAAATGTACTTAAGTGCAAAAAATAAAAAGTAACTTTCACCTTCAAGAATACAAAATGACTTTCAATAAGTGTAAAATAATTTAAAAGTTCTGGTCAAACAAAGTACTTTTTTGTTTTGCTCACAACATGCACTGTGTTAGCAAAGAGAGTCAAAAATAAATACAGATATGGCCTAATTTTCCTTCAAATCAAACCTTTAGTAAGATCATTTATTACACAAAACATTGCATTCGTCACTAATCGTTCTTTGAGCCAAAAACATGGAGGGATTTTTTAAAAGACGAAGAACGTCTTGAATCTCTCAATGAGTGAATCTGTTGTTTACGGAGAACCCAACAGTTGTACTCAAAGAAGAGTAGAACTACTTCAGCATATTTTTACTCAAGTAAAAGTAAAAAGTAGCCATACGAGAAATTAATCAAGTAAGAGTAAAAAGGTATTTGGTAAAAAAAAAAAAAGTCTACTCAAGTACCGAGTAACTGATCAGATTATCAATCATTTAAAATTTAAAAATTACGTCATCAGATGGACCAAAATATAAAGTTATGTGGAAGTTTTGGTATTTTAAGGACAAAAATTAGAATAATTCATATAAGTAACAAAATCAGGCAAAAGAAAAATTTTCTTTCAATAAAAAAGCTGCAGGTGTCCGTCTGTGAATTTTTATTTAAAACATGTTTGTTTTTCATTCAGTGGGTAGAAAATCCAGACATTTTACTCAAGTAAAAGTAGAAATACTTCAAAATAAAACTACTCAAGTAAAAGTAAGAAGCGTAAAAATACTCGTACCCCGTATTGCTACGTCTCCATGTCATTACATTTTTAATCATGGAAATAACGAGCTATGTAAGAAAAATGTAAGGAGTAGAAAGTGCAGATATTTCTTTTAAAATGTAGGCAGTAAAAGTAAAAAGTTGTCAGAACGATAAATACTTGAGACCAGGTATCAGTAAAATCCCTTTTCCTTTTTGACGTCATGTCTTTGCCTACCATGTCCTTGAAGCCTCCCAGCACAGCCGCAGTGATGATGCCCAGAAAAAGCGCCACGATGTTCAGGAAGGTCGCAGACCACAGCAGGTAGTAAAGGTGCACAACGTCCTGGCAGCTTTTCACATCTGTGTATTCATGGTAACCTCCCATCACTTCTGCTCGGCTGGGCCAGTGAGTGGGACACAGAGGGGGACAAAGGTCACTGAGAGGGTCAGTGATTGGCTACTCTTCAGTTATCAGCAGGAAACTGTTATCAGGTTTTGATTTATGGTTGCAATCGTGGAAAAGGGTTTCACTGAGGCTTTGAAAAGTCGAGCAGAACTGAAATGGATGGATAATGTCAGGTCAGCCACAAACAGAACATGCAGAGATGAACTGAACATTCTATGATGGTGTTTATTACTCATAACAACTACATCTACATGGGAAGAAAAACGCCGGACTGATCTACAACGGGCAGTATCGGTCTGGAGAAGGGACCTACTTCCAAATCATGGATGACTTCCTAAACTTTTTCAAAACATCTTTATTCTGAAGTCCCATAAGAGGTTCTCTGAAACAAAAGTCACAAAGAAAAGAAACATTCTTGTTCTGATACAATCAAAGCTGCAATGCAAACAAATCTCCCACTGAAAATTAGAGATGCACCGATTTGACTTTACTGGCTTATCCTGACTGGTACTTTATTTAGACAGATTCAGTTATTTTTAAGCGCTTAAACATATAAGAAAGAATAAATAAAAACATAATGGAGGATTTTGGACAGAGGTAGTTTTGAATGCAACAGAAAACGAAGGAAAATCAAGAAGATCCCATTTTGTGAGTGAATGTCTAACCTTCCCTGACTTTCTTCAAACTCAGACATTTGTGAGAGTTCTTGATGTCTGACAACAAGGCGACCTTTAAATCCAGCATCAGGTCACTTAATTGGTGCATCTCTATTGAAAATCGAAACAATGAAAGAAGCACTTCAAACCATGTAGCCACAGTTTTGTCTTTGTTCATTTTAACCAAAGTTTTCCTCACCTCCCACAGTTGTAGAGTTCACAGCAGTAACAGGTGTTGCTCTTCACATGCAGCTTACACGACGACCGGCACGGCACCTGGGGGTCACAAGCTGCTTTCAGCACCTTAACTCTGCATCGCTGCGGGATACGACAGCCTCACCCACACACAACTCAATGAAGAGAGAGTGGGACATAATAACGGTGACTTACCTCACGCTCAGACGCAGAATCACTGGACAGATACCCACAGCGCCCGGCATGCAGAGGCTCGAGGTCCTGCAGGAGGACAAATCACATCGTGTTGGACTTTTTCAAGCAATGAATTAGAAAAAAAAGACAAAAAATAACTTTAATAAATATCAGGTTTCAGCTATTTAGATAAAATTAAGTAATTTAAGCACTCTGAAGAAGACTATGTTACTCTAATGTGAATATTATTAAGAACCAGAAACAAAACATGGAGAAGCAGCATTCAGTTTTTATGCTCCTCTAATCTGGAACAAACTTCCAGAAAACTGCAAAACATCCGAAACACCGAGTTCCTTTAAACCGAGGCTGTTTAAAGCTGCCTTTGGTTCATAATAACTGGGACACTGATCAATATATCTGATATATTTTAATGATGGGATTTGACTAAAAGCAATGTTTACTGGTGTTTCATAATTTGCTACCATGTAACGTTTCATAGTGTAACAACACACTGCCTTGTTGCTGAAACAAGCTTTGAAAATAAACTTGACTTAATAAATGAGGTGATAAACAACAAACAGGATGAACTTGTTTATTTATGTTGCGTCTTCTGGTTTGTTTGTCTCTGGTGTCCTGGGAAAAGATATCTTTAGGCCTGCATGTTCAGCCTTGTTTGGTTTTTTAAAGAGTGAAAAATGATCAGGCTCAGAGCTGGACTTCTATTTTTATTTACCTAACTGTAAAACTATAAGTGTTGTAGATACAAACACTTATGTCAATTTATGTGTCTTTGTGACTCCAAAATAATAAAAACGTACGCTTGACTGGTGTTTGTTCACCTAATTATACACAAACTACAACCAGGATGGAAGTTATTGAACTGGTTGGTTAGGCTTAGGGTTAGGCTGATGGCAACAAGGCCTTCAAACTTCAAAAGATTAAAGATGAACCAACAAAATACCCATAAAACCTGCTAAATGTTTCTCCAGTAAATATAAGAAAAATTGAGGCAGAGCCACTAAAGGTTTTTTCATTATGTATTTTGAAGGGTATAAATCAACTTCAACATGCCAATTCTGTTAAAATGTGCTGTTTTGTCATCTTTAGTGATGTACTTGTGTCATTTCCTATCAGAAACTAACGTTTTGGCTTACATGAATAATTATTAATGTGAATAAAATGTTATAATTTAGGGCTAAACCTCATGTCGACCTCTTTTGACATGCTCCAGTTCTGAATAGTGTGTATTGGTATCAATGCTTTGATATTCACGGTTTCTTCTGCGTTCGGACCGTGTGTGTTACCTTTGCTCTGGTTATTTCTAAGAATAAATTACAAATCTAGGAATAAAATTTAAATGCCAGATAAACTGTAAGATGATTATTGGCTAAAATAATCAGAAAGTAGGTGGAGCCTTCAGCTTCACTGTCGGTTTCAAGCAACCTGCAACCTGAGGTGAGTAAACAGAGTGAGATTATGTAATATTATTACTGTGATGTTTCAAGTTACATCTACATTGATTCAGTAACAGTGACCAAACAAACGGTGTTTGCTATGGAGTTTAATTTTCTGTGACATTCATTCACCACATAGATGAAAATAAGACACAAAAAGTGTGGTTAGTGACATATGTAAGTGTTTACAAGCAGTTCAGAGTAGAATTGCTTTTGTAGCGTTTCAAACATGTCTAACTGATAGGAGTCCCCAGTGCAGGATTTAATTATACCCTTTCTAGTATGTATGTGATCTGGTTTAAAACCTAAAGATGAATATGATGACCGTCAGTGGATCATTTTAATGGTTTATCTTTTATAACTGGCTCCCTGTAAAGTCGAGTGTAAACTTACAAAAATCTTCCATTTTACTGGCAAATGAAGATCCACTAATGGGGATGCTCCTTTTCACTCAGCCATTATTTCAGCACAATTGTATTAAACGTGCATTAGTAGTTACTTTGCATCATGACGGCTAATTTAACCCACAGCTAAATATTTTGTTTCTGCCACCCATTTACTGCAGACAGACTTTACTGAGCCTTTGTAATGCTAGCTAACTCTAGTAGCTTTAGCTAGCATGTTATTTGATTTAAAATAACACATAAAATGATTGGTTATACTTACAATGTGCCTCGCTGCAAAAACTCCATCAACAATAGCGCAGCAAAAGGCGGCAACTGCTCCGAAACTGATGAAGACAATAGATGCAACTAACTGTGGAAGAAAACAGAGACGCATCAGCTTCAGGATAACTAAATGTATATTACATTTGTTTTATCACCGCTTGAACACTTAGAGCCTTTAAATAGGACTCCAGAGTCAATGGGAATCCTCCCAAGAGGCGCCACTGATTAGGGATAAACTATATGTTGCCAATATCTTGTCACTGAAGTTTTGATTTGATCTTTTAACATATTTCTGAATATAAATAACACATTTTTAGGTTTAGGCGTTGAATGTTTGGATGATTATACCCTCTGGTTTTGGATGCTGTGCACCTGAAAAGATTTTTGCTCCTAATTTTTTACTTTATGATGTGGAACTATGGAAACCAGGTATTGTTTTTGTTTTATTTACAATTGCAGACAGCTGATTAGCGTCTCAAATGCTTAAGTATTTGACCTATGACCCTAAATCCCAGAGGAGTTGAAAAGGAGGCTTCATGGATGCCAAGAGAGAAGGAGGGAGTTCAACGCCTCTCTGACACAGATTTGAAAAGAAGCAGCAAAAGCAACAAGGTGGATTAGCAGTGCTTGACAACAGCTGATGGGACTGTCATACAGAAATCATCTTCAGTCAGAGGCTTCTTCAGATTTGTTGTGAAACTGACTGCTACTGGAGAACCTTCCTGCCCAACGCATCACCATCTACAGCAACTTTCTGAAGGTACAACATTTAATTTCCTTTTAATATTTTTGAACGAAACAGAATCTATAATTCAAGAAGTGCTATTGTTGTTGGATAATATTCTAAAAAGTGTTGCATAAATGCATCTACATATTAACGCAATATTTAACCAGCTGGACAGTCTCTTGGACACAGATGGCAAAAGGTCCCACAGTGTAGGAGTACAGATGAAAACAGAAAAGAAGATGAAAACATCACAACGGATATCGCCATCACAAGATATTCTAATCCAATTACTGACGGATGCGAAACACTGAGCAGTTTCAAATGAAAATGTTTCAGTCTTTCAGTGACACAAAAACAGCAAGCATTGAGTTACACTCACTCCTGTTCTGCATCGAAAGAGAAAGAAACCCTAATCACACCACTTTCTGAGGAAAGAATCAAATTAATGGCTCTCAGTGGTACTTTAGAAATTAGACTTGGTGGGGTGTGCTGTGGTGGCAGAGGGGTTATGCACAAGCCACATATGGAGGCCTTAGTCGCTGTCACAGGTTCGATTCCTGGCCTTGGTGACCTTTGCTGCATGTCTTCCCCCTTCTCTCATTACCCACTTTCCTGTCAATTAACTATCAAATAAAGACTTAAAATAAATTAGATTTGGTCTTGTTTCCCAGCCTCCTGGCGCTCTGCATGTTTCAGATGTTTTCCCGATGCAACACACGACAGCCAAAGGAGTAAATTATGTCAGCAGCTTGTCATCGACTCCAGCAGAGGCCTGTTTACTCACCAAGCAGCAGCAATCAGGTTTACTGAAGCAGATTAATAAATAGAAAATACATCCACTATTTCTGTATGTCTACAAAACCATATCCTGGATTTTCAAGGGATGAATGGAACTGAAGGAAGCAGAAGAAAACTTTTTTATTAATATTTTTGGTTTTTATAAAGCATACAACTTTATAAAATAAGGAGAATTTTAAATTCACAGCAAAAACACAAACTTTTACCAAGTGTTATTGGTCCAGTTTACAGTGCAAATATCTTAACAAACTTCAAACAAAGCAAAACTAATTTACAAGTAACTTTTCAGAAAGATACAAGAGCTTGTTTTAAGTAAATAATTCCCTCTAGATATTTATATTTATACCAAGATATTTTCCTGTAAATGAAATAATATTTTTTTCATCAGTATTAAAATATTATTGACTTGCTGAAAAGTTACTTATAACTATATAAGTTCGTTTTGTTTAATGTCAAGAATAATAAGATATTTGCAATGGAAACTAGAGCAAGAATACTTGGTAAGATTTTTGCATTTCCTTTGCACAGTAATACTGTAAACTATCAAAATAAAATTCTAAGTCTACATCCAACCTTTTCAATCAGTGGCTAAAAGAAATGGGCCTTTTTGTCTCTATTATGAATCAAAAAAGTAGTAAATAGTTAATATATACTAATATATTTACAGTATACATTAAAATGGTTCAGCTATGTTTTTAAAGGAACTATACCTTCAATTGTGTCAGTGACATCTCTGTTTTTTGAGATGGGATCAAATTTAAAGCTTTTGGTTGCTACTGTAATAAAATGTGTTTAAATGTAATGCTTTTTACAAACCTTTAGCAGGGATGTAACACCTGGGAACATGTGGTTGGTGCAGCGGTTTAGATAAAAGCTACAAACCATAAAAATAATGATAATTGTTCCAACAACCCAAAAATTTTACTAAAGTAAAAGCAGCACAACTTCAACATATTTTACTCAAGTAAAAGTACAAAATGTAAAGTTATGTCCAAATTCTGCTGTTTTAAAGACTGAATTTTGAACTTTTTTCTCCCACTAGAGGTTTGAAACGATCAACTTGAAATTTCCCAATGTATGATATCATTTAACTAAAAAAATTAAATTACTTTATACAGATTACAAATACCGAACTCATAAAAAAGATGCAAAGTAACAGAATGACAAAATAAACAGGATTTTTTTTTTTTTTTTCAAATGATATATTGTATATAAATGACATGATTACAAAATAACAGATTCAGGTATAGTACTTTTCCAAATCACTAAAAATATCAATGAAACTAATACTTCAGTAATGCAAATATACTGTATTTTAGAACAGAGTTAATTACTTGTGGTGTTAAATTACTCAGCAGGTAGAAAATAACTTTAGAAAAACAAACCTTGTGCACAAACAAGAAATCTTACTTCAGGTGTGTTTATATCTGATGCATTTACTCACAGTGGGAAGAGCATCCAGAAATTAAGAGTGGAAATACCTCATAAAAGTATTACTCAAATAACAGTAAAACAATCAGTGTAGTAAGACTATTGCTAAAAGTAAACTGAAGTAAACCTCTGCAACAGTCACGTTCAGTGAACCCTGACCAGATGGTGCAAACCTCCAAACTGAACGCGAATCCATTTCTCATGTTTAGGAAAAGATGTAAGTCGTCTAGATGTGCAGCCTGTCATCACTTTTTATGTAACCTGTAATAACATTTCAGCAATGCACTGCGGCTCAGTTTGCTGTATCACTGGACCGGACCTCCTGCTGCACTATAGGTAACGGCTGCCACAGCATAAAGCCATCCATCAGTTCTGACGGGCCGAACCTGGCACCTCCCACCTGTTCTACTCATCCCACCCTCATTTTGGCTGCAGACATCTGCCTCCTCCATTTACAGCCCGTTTCTATTTCTGGCTGTGTTCGCCCTCAACTCACCCCTCACAGTCCAGTTTATTTGCAACAGTACGCAACGCAAATCTCCTCAGCCCAGTTTGGACTCACAGGATCAACTGGAATGGATAAAAAAAGACCAGCAAACACAAAACACAGCAGAAATAAAGGATGTAAATCCTCTTACCATCTGCCTCTTGTTCTCTATCAAATGAGCACCGATGATTCCCAGAAAAGAGCCAAAGCCGAGCTGGAAAGAAAGAAAATATCCTGTTACAGGAGATTGTTCATATGGCAGTGAATTCAAGCCACATTAGATAGAAAAATCAACAAAAAAGGTGAAAATTTTCACCAAAAAAAGGCTGAAATTTGTGACTATTTTCAGAAATTTTCAAGGAAAAATCATAAATTTCTGTTTTTGAAAAGTCTAACATTTTCTAGAAAAAATATCTGAAACTTTTAAATTAACCTCTAAAAATTTATCAAAAGACCCAGAAATGTCTGAGTTTCAAATGCCAAAAATCAGAAATTTACAAGTTTTTTTTTCTAAAAATTTCTGAGATCAATCTCAAAATTTCAAAGTTTTTTTGTTTTTAGGAAATTTTTCACTTTTCAAACACAAACATTTTTTTCCCTAAAAAAATTCTGAGATTAAATTCAAACTTTCTGTGTTTTCTCTGGAAAATTTTTTAATTTTCAAACAGAAATTTCCACAGTGTTTTCTAAAAAAAAAAAAAATGAGACTACTCTCAAATTTCTGGAGTGTTTCCAGAAATTTGTTGACTTTTAAAACAGAAATTTCCAGATTTTTTTCTAAATAAATAAATAAAAAAACAGAGATTAATCTCAAAATTTCTGATTTATTTTTTTTTTAGCAATTGTTAAACCTTTCAGAAATTTTTGTGGAAAATTTACTCTTTCAGCTGTGAAAGTCATGAGACTATTACACAGAAATAATCTTCAGTCAGAGGCTTCTCAGGTTGGTTGTGAAACTGGCTGCTACTGGAGATTCTTTCTGCCCAAACCATCACCATCCTGTATGATGCGAATTACAACAACACATTTAATATTTAATAAGTATTTTTTAATTGAATTAACTTTATATTGCAACATAGCAACAGTCTTCAGTCAGAGGCCTCTTCAGATTGGATGTAAGATCGACTGCTACTGGAGTTCCTTCTGGATCACAGCATCACAATCCACAACAAACATCATATGATCTAAGCATCATATGATGCTTAGAGCATATGAATTATGCCAACCTTCAATATAATTTCCCTTTGAGATACATAAAGTGTAACTTGCATTGAATACCAATCAAATTTGACTTTATAGTTTCAAAATTAATGTCACTGAAACGGTTTGATTCAGATGATCTAAACATTAAATCTACAGAACTCGATCTGAGTCTTTCAAATGCCAAAAACAAATTTACTGACTGGAAGACTCAGACTTCATCTAGCATCTAATGATTGCAATCCTGAATAACGAAAGCAAAACACTCCCTTTAGGGAGCTGTCTTAATGAAGTTTGGACTCCAGGAGCTGAAAGGGTTTGCTGGAAACAGCTCAGTCTTGTTTACCATGTTGTGTCTGTGTGTGAAGCTTAGGAATTTGAACTCACAATGACTCCAGGGTAGTAGCCTCCCACAGTGATGTTTTGTGTCCGGGTGGTCGCCGCCAGGCCGAAAACGAGGATCAGAACAGAGACAATTAGCAGCATCACCGTCACCGTTATGGATTTCCTCTTCCTTCTCTTAAAGGAGCCTACAGACACAACAAAAGAAATCTAATATTACCAACAAACCGCCATGCATTTGTTGTGGCACATGCTGATCAAAAGGTTAAAACTTAGTCATTGTCTTACAAGCACTGCAAAAATTCACACAAGCCTTTTGGCTGTGGTTTCTTTCCCTGCATTTGAAGGGAAGGAATTTTTGCATTTTCAGATGACGCATTCAAAAGAGCTGTGTGAGATCTTCCAAGAGTTGGTTTATGTTTTATCCACTTGAACCAACCAGTTTTTTTTCCTCCAATTCTCAAATGTTTTGGCTCCTGACCTTTTTCTTATAATAAATGAGTCATTCTCCTCTGGAGCGTTCCCACAGACTGAGGTAATCAAAACCACTTCATAAAAAGAATAACCTGGACTTATCAATTTTCAGTAATGTGCCACTTCTGGCTAAAATATTAAAGGTGACCTATTATGCTTCCTTCAAAAGGTTAGGATGGGTCTATGGGCTAAACAAAACATGCACGAAAGCATTCTTAGATAATGAGATTTTAGTCTGATCAGTTCTGCCTATTTGAGCTCTTTTCAGAATAAACTCAACGTTTGCAATCGCACATGAAAATTAACTGCAAACAAATGCTCAATTACGCCACCATACATCTTTGAAAAGCAGAAGTGGAGCCTCCTGCACAACTAGCAAGAAAGCAGCAAGTGGTTTTTGGATGGTAAGTCAACAACAAATGCTTGTCTTTTCCGTCAGCCATTGTGCAGCGTACAGCGGTAAAACCAGCTGATCAAATGTGCTGGAGCACCAGTTGGGTTTCTAGGTGACGGGCGGAACTCTGCTGGGGTTGCTAGGTAACGGAATGAGCTTTGCTGGAGCTGCTAATTGCATTTTGGAGGTTTTTGAAACGGCTCATTTTTGCAAAATGTGAATGTGGCATTATATGTTCCCTTTAAAAAACAGATTTCTAACCCTGAGCAACTACTCTGATGGTTTTTGTCAATCAGGCTTTTGTGAACATCACAGTACTGAAACTGCTCTTGTCTTTAATGACCTCCAGCTGAACACCGATTGTAGTAAAATTTCAATATTAGTTTTACTTGATCTGAACACAGCGTTCGACACAGTTCATCATGACATTTTATTATCCCAATTTAACAAACTGAGTTGGTATTTGGTGTCTGTCTGATAGAACCTTTTCGTGTCCATAGACGACAATAAATCTAAGCTGAATAAAAGTATTTATTCCTCAAGGTTCCAACCTAAGTCTTCTCCTTTTCAATGTTTTAAAGCATTCAAATTATATGCAACAATAAGAAAGAGTATCACAATTATGTAGATCACACACAGTTGTACATCAGTTTTTTACCAGGAGATTACAGTCAAGTGCAAATGCACTAAACACATTGAACAGATTAATAGCTGGATGTGTCCAGTTTTTCCCAGCTAAATATAACAAAACTGAATTTTTATTCCACTTTCAGTCTGTAGGTTTACAATGCTAGGAATGTAAGGTTAACGATGGATTCTGCTCTGAATTCCAACAAGTACAAAACATGGTCATAAATACAACATTACCACCTAAAAATACTGCCAGAATTCAATAATTGCAGTGCTGTTTTCACTGCGAGGGCTATTTAAAAAATCAATGAGACAGCTTCAACTAATGCTGATATTAGAGTCCTTACAAAAGCAAAAAGAGATCAGAAAATCAGTCCAGTTTTGAGGTCATTAAGCTGGCTATCGCCCAAAGAATGGAGTTTAAAATCTCACTGATGGTTTACAAACCACTTACAGACTACGTCTCTGATCTTCTTAAATGCTCTGACCCATTAAGACCGTAATCTGAATCAAACCTACTAACCATTCCAAGAGTTAAAATATGCTGAAAGCAGCCATCAGGTTTTATACAACAAAAATCTGGAATAAGTTTCCCGTTAGCTGAGGAATGATCCCACCTGAACTCTTTTAAAACAAAGTTAGAAACATTTTTATTTGCTACTTTTAAACTTAGTTTTTTACTTTTTATTTTTTATAATCCTTTTAATTTAAATAAGTTTAATGTGTTTTACCCTGATGAACGCTTTTTAACCTCGACTTTTAAGGACTTTAAGTTGCTTTTGATCAAAAAGTGCTATCCAGATGAGGTTGCCTTTAGCATAACTCTGCCATAACTTCTCAACAACTTTGACCCTGTCTGCTATGTTCCCTGTTTTTCATGACAATGTTTGATCAAACCTCTTCACAGAATATATTCTGAGATTAAATTACACAAAAGGTGGACTCTATTTAATATTTTGGTGATTTATAAACTCAATCAGTTGCCCTGGATTTTATTTAGTGGCATCAGAGTACAAATGCATCGCACGCTGTTTTAAAGCTTTTCAGAAGAATCATGTTATTTTCCTTCCACTTCACTATTACACACTACTGAGTTGATGTAATATGTAAAATCCCAATGAAATACAGTCTATGGTTGTATCATAACAAAATGTGGAAACTTTTGAAAAATATAAATACTGTAAATAAAAGAACTTGTGATTAAGAATGAATTTTATTAAGGATCCATCCATCCATCCATCCATCCATCCATCCATCCATCCATCCATC